ACAGACATTAATTTTCTCATCAACATTATTCCTCGGCATTGTTTGTGAAACATGGGATTATCTAGATAGAGGATAAAACCAAAAGGAATCAAGTTGCACTTCGAGCAGAGAGGGCTTTTCTTTTAATCAGGCATTTGGTTAAGATAATAGGCTTGAGACCCTAATTGATTATTACTATTTTAAGGTTTTAAGATGGCTATGTATAGTGAGATGTTGAACATGAAAAAGGCTTTAGAAATGGGTTCACTGCTAGTTTGGGGGGACTTGTGTAATTTAAAACACTGAAAAGGAATCAAAGTCTCCCAAAAAGCTGTTCTTCTAATCTTAATACATTGTCATTCAGATTGTAGTGGAAGAAAAATAACTGGATTTGGACTTCTTCATCTTCAAAGGAGTAACACTTTCCCAGTTTTATTTAAGCTTGGATTTCAGGAAACCAGCTGTATCTCTGTTTAGAAAATACCTTGTGTATTTGTGGTGCAATCTAACTATTTTAGAGTAAAAATAATACTGTTGGATTACACAAGGAAGCCTGCTAATTAAATAACAATAATACCTCGAGCACCTTGAAAACATCTTCTGATATTCAATTAAGGAACAATAACCCGATGAACTTTAACCTATAGACCATATTCAGACTTTCTACATAAAAGTAATTGCATCAGTCATGATTTTCTCAAGCTACAACACAAGCTCTTGATTGGTAGCTCAACGTCTTAGACTCCTTTTTACAGCATTAATTGGGAAAGCAGACAATACTCCCCCTGTAAACTCGATTTTAGGACGAAGGTTAGTTGCCTTTGTACACGTTTACTCATTGAAATAGGAATGTTTGCTTAATAATTCAAAACAAATAGCACTAGACAACAAGCCTAATCCTGATTTCTCTTCTGCCAGTGTAAATTAGGAGAAAATGAGGTGAAACGCTGTTTGATCAGTGTAGAAAGACTTGTTTAAAACTTCTTTGAGATCAGAATTAGGCTTCAGCAATTCAAGCCTTTTCTTCTGGCTTCTCTCCTGGGATCCAAAAGAAGAATATGTAAATTGCATTATGAATTTTCTCCCCAATTAAAGCGGCCATCAAGCTATGGTAGGATGTTTTCCATGTGGTACCTGTTACGATAGTGTTGCACCACATTTGTACAATATAACAAAAGTGTGATTGGGTAATGGCATATGGTTTGTTAGTCACTATCCTGATCTGCTTTATTGAATTTGATCTTATTAGCCTGGGATTTTTCCTCCTTAGGGGAAATATGATCATCCTCCTGAGCTGAAATGAGATCTTAGGTAATGAGCAAAGTCCTACCTGCACTTAGACTTGCACTGAAGGAATGATTCAACAGTATATTGTAATTCCTCCTCAGTGTTGTCAGCCTGCCTTTATTTGGCAGGGCAATAGCCATGTGCTTTAGTCAGGCGTGTGAGGAAAATGAAACGTGCTGCAGCGACTTTGCTGAGTCAGGGCCTGCCTTGGCCAGCCAGGTGTCTTAATCTGTACCCAGAATTTCAGTGAATGAGCTCCATGAGGTTCATTTTGAACAGCTGGTTCATCACTAAATTGTGAGTGTCACACAAAGCTGCAGAGATAACCTGTCATATACAGCAGTTTCAATGTCCTAACTTTGGGATATTGAGCAAAACTATTTCAGGGAACATATTCCAGTAAAGTGCCGTATGAAAAGTAAATCTCATGAGCTTTCAAGATGTTTAATCATCTTTTCAGTACAGGAGCTCGTTAATGCTAATATCTGCATATGCAACTGCTTGATTTTTACCTATTTTTTTCTCATTCAGAATCAAGTGGAACGGCCAAATTGATATATCGTTGCATTTTGACTCCTGTTAAAGTTTTCTTCACGTTTTTTGTCAATCCTGCTAATTCCTAGTCATTCTTCAGTTACATTTCTAGCTTCTTTGTCCTGTTTCTCTCATATTCATGTTGCACTGTTATCCTAGCTCAGCAAAAGCGACAGTCTTAGGCCTGGATTTTGCAATCTGAGCCATCCAGGCAAATCTTTAAACCTCCATGGGGTTCTAGGGAACTGCAAATTTACACTATAACAGTGCATCAAAATAAATTCCTAATACAGCTCTAAGCATTGCTTTTATGGTTATCAAGATATTATTAATGATTGGCAAGAGGAGTCCCTGATTTCCTAATATTTATAAGTAAATAACAAATTGGAGAATTGTGAAATTCACCTTTCATTTGTGAAACATTTATTTGCAGTATTGAAGGGTGAAAATCTAATCACACTCATTGCATGCTATTGTTTAATGATTACTATTACATGTACAACCATGAGGAATGTTCCTGCAGAACCGTGCAGACATTTCAAATATACCCAAAATAGGAATAATGAGGTCAGCAGGCCCAAGATAACTTATGCAACTTCTCTCATGCCCTGAGAGTTAGAATATATTTTAAATGGCATTTTCATTTCTGGTTTTACCAGAAATGAAACTGTGTTTGCCAAGTTAAGGTAACGCTGTGAGCCCTGCGACAATCACATTTTTATTGGATAATTACAAAGGCTTTAGACTAATTTAAAAAATCAGCCAAATGTGCTGTGATTGTGGGGTTTTTTTCCTCCCATATTTGAATTTCACCTTCACTCTTCGTGAGCTAGGAACCTGCCTGAGAAATGCAGGTGGGAGTGGACACCAGAGCAGAGCCAGGATGATGCACTGTGAAAAAACAACACGTGACAGATGTTCATGGCATTGCTGGATGCACTTCTGGAAGTTGCTCAGATACTGCCATGATGAGCACAGTGTGAGAAGTTATATAGCATAGACTGGCTTCCCTCCGAAGGGCTCTGCGGAGTAGTAAGCATTCTGGCCCTGATCCAGCAAGGCACTTAAGCATATGCTTAATTTTAGGCACATGAGTGGTTTCAGTGAAGACCTAAGAGAATTATTTTTAATTCACAGATCATTTAATTCAATAGGCAGGTCTGCTGCAGCATATGAAAAGTAGATCTTCATATTAAAAATACTTGGGAAATTGTCGATGAACAAACGTTGTGTATGGCCAGTAACCGTTTCTAAAAAGCAGAATGAGGTAGTCATCACCTTTATTATGGGAAAATACAAAGCAGATCAGGCAAAAGCATTCACAGCTATCTGAGAGCCATTTCTCAGTTGAAAATAAGGAAAAATAAAAGCTCGTAAGAACATTTATTCATTTGAAGTAGAGAAAAATTTATTCTCTTGATGTAAATAAAAACCTTGTTTGCAGATTGAGGAATTTGTTTGTGTTGAATTTCAGCATCAATTTCAATATTTTATAGTACATTTATCTACAGCTGGAGCATGACAGATTTGTGTATATTTATATGTTTGTGTACATAATACATATGTATACACACATACACAAGGATGCCCAAAGATATACATATACACAGTTTGAAAACTCATCATTATTGCTGAAGTATAAAAAGATGCCTGATGTAGAAACTTGTCTGGAGTCTGTTAGCTTAGCGACTGCGTTCATCTGGCACCGTGGGCTCCTCACAGAAACAGGGAACTTCTTCTGTGTAGGAGCAGAATTCCATGAGATCTTGGCTGGAGATGAATGGCTTGTCTCCCTCCAGATCTCTCCCAAACCTTTCCTTGACACAATCCCTGACATTCTACCCTCTATAGTCCTGCACACAGAATGTAGTATTTCTTTTGCATCCTATTCTCCAGGTAGAAATGGCAATGGGACATGTTGTATATATTGGGTTTTTTAAATAACCCCAAAAGAAAGCCAGGGAATCAAATGTGCAGCTTGCATTAGTCCTATTGCTATGGTCCTTAGAGAAAGGTGAACAGGTATTCCCAGGATGAGCATGGGGTACAGTAGAATATATGGAATGTAGGGAAATCGTACTGAGCCTGACAAACAATTAACGACGGAGCAGATGGTGTCCCTGCAAAACATTCAATAATATATGTGTGCGTGCGCCGGAATCAGTGACTCTAAGTAGGACAACCTAAAAAGGTATGGCACTTATCCTGTGGGCAAGTAGGACTTTACAGTTCTTTTAATAATCTCTTTATCCTGCGATTTCTCCTTTGACCCTGATTTCAAAAGCAGGAGGTCAGCCTGGCTGACCAACTGCAGACCTCCCTCTAATTGAAGTCCAGCTCTGTCCCGCGTGAGCTGCCGTACCCCACCCTCGCACTGGGCTGCAGCCCCAGCGCTGCTCCTTTTGTCACTGATCATACCCGTGAAAATTAAATGAACATTTGGTGGTAGGCATGTTTGTAGAGAAGAAGGAAAATACTGTTATGTAAAGTGCAGTAACATTCTGATACCAAGTGTAGAGGCATTCCTTGCACAAGGGAGACGAGTGTGGACGTGTCTGCCCTGATTCCTACAGACAGTCCACAGCACAAAGTTAACACTTTTCTTACACTGAGGTTATTTTTCTTTTCAAAGCCTAGTTCAAAACAGTAGAATTTTTTTTTTGGTGCGAAAGACCTTCATTTAAATTTTTTTAACCATCTGCTATTTTAAGATTTCCCTGGTGTAACCTTAGAAAAATGAAGAGTACGTCTTTAAATCTTGTTTTGTTTGAATGAATGGGTAGATAATCCTGATCAGATGTTTCTTTAGAGAATAATGTTTAAAACGATTATGGAACTTAGCTGTCCTGTCTGTTTCCTAGGTACAGTATTTTCATTTCAATTGTGAAGTTGTTAGGGGTCATCCAAGGTAACCGTTTATTAAAATAGTCCTCTTTTGTTTCAGATTTCCTGTTGAGATGCTTTAACATGTAAAAATCTCCCTGCTGATGTGTCATGTTAGCTTTCCTAACCTCTAGATAGAAACCACAAAGCAGCCTACATAGCTGTATGACTAGTTACCCACCTACATAAACAATAATTACTGCTAAGTGGGAAATTAGATGTCACATTTTAGGTCTAAATGAAAGTAAAGTATTTGAGAATACTGTCATTAAATGCTTAAAGCTAATCGCAGTTCTCTCACTCTCTTTGTTTTGTAGGACATTTGGGCTTCCAGGACAGTTTTGTCACATCAGGTGTTTTCAGTGTGACTGAGCTAGTAAGAGTCTCACAAAGTAAGTATCATTTTGTGACCGGTTTATGTGGTTTCTGCAATGCCAGTGTTTTTTCTTCGATGCTTATTGTGCCCCTTCCCCAACTGAGAAACACCATCTTGAAAATTGAGACTCACTTTTCCCCTGTTCTTGCCAGTGGACAGCATTTATGTGACACATCTTTTAATGGGCAAAAACAAAACAGCAGAATTTTAAACTAAGTTTAAAAAAAAATTGATTCTGCAAACTTGCATGTGCGAATTGATAAGCTCATCTGGTACTCATATGAAAATGGAGAGACTCCATATCAGAGTGCAGATAAATTCCATATCAGAGTGCAGATAAATGCCTACAGAAATCAGCTTCCCATGGGTCCCTTGGAGGATCCAAGGACTCTAACCAGACCTCTAGAAAGTATCTGATCTGTCCACATAAGATTGGAAATTTTCTTATGCTGTTTTTTCCACATTGTGTTCATCCATGTCATGTGTACATGACTTTGTGTGTGATTTTTGGGACTGTCCAGTGCAGGGCCAGGAGTTGAAATTTGATGATCCATGTGGGTCCCTTCCAACTCAGGATGTTCTATGATTCTGTACACCTGCAAATTGCTGAAGTCATTATTAATACCAACAACTGTACCAATTCTAGCCCTGATAATCTCACACATCTTGACTTCACCAGGCCTACATTTTCCATTAACTGTATGGAACTTTGCCTTCTAGAAGGATTTGTTTTTTGACCTTTAAAGAATGCTAATGCCCCCAGCATGAATGACACACAGCAGCATGATCATTACAGCCTTGTCAATACTCACTAACAACAGTGAATTAAGAGTACCTGTCACCACCCTGTTCCATTGATCAAAGGTGCATTGATTGTATTTTGCTATGACATAATCCAGATAGTCCAAGGAGAGAGTATGGACAGTGTCTTGCAGACACTACGGCTAAGCCAGGGCTATAGGTACTGGTCCTTTGGGGATCTGAGAAATTCTTCCCTTGAGGGTGGTGAGGCCCTGGCACAGGTTGCCCAGAGAAGCTGTGGCTGCCCCATCCCTGGAAGTGTCCAAGGCCTGGTTGGAGCAACCTGGTCTAGTGGAAAGTGTCCCTGCCCACAGTAGGGGGTTGGAACTGGATGATCCTTAAGGTCCCTTCCAACTCAAACTGGTCTATGATCTTTTGTTCAGCTAGAGCAGGATAACATGATGTTCAGCAATCACCAGTTCCCCAGGTGGACCACTCAGCTGCAGGCCCCTTTAAAATCTTAGGGTGTGCAACCAATCTCTTTAGCACCAACAGTGATAGAAGTGGTTCTCTTTGATAGCAGAAATATTTGTTTGTGTACTGGCTCTGAGCATGTAGTTTAAGTCCTTTTGGGGCTGGAATATGACTGGCACAAACCTAGCAGAGAATCTGTGGTTTTGAATCAGAACACAGAGTTTGTGTAAGGATTTTCTGGTTTATTTCCTCTTTTGGAAAAGGCTTACACTGGCTAACACATTGGCTTTATATTAAAAGTAGGATGCTACAAGGAAAGCATGGCAAATGGGAGACACATGAATGCCAGAGTTATATGCTCTGGAGAGAGACAGAGAGAGAAAAAGCTCGAAGAAAACATTTCTCCTGAGTTTTCTTCCCTGATAACTGGTGGGAATTTTGAAAGAAGGACAAAGTTAAGAGGACTTAGAAGTCAAGAGGAGCTGCTGAGTGCTCAGCACATTTGCAAATCAGTTCACTTACCAAAGTGCTTAACTAGGGGCTTTGGCATCTAACTCACTGTACTGAGTACACAGACTTGCTGGTACCTGCAGCCAGGGTGGACAAACCCAAGTTATCACCAGGCTTTGAACACCTCCGTGTTATGTCACTTTATTTCGGTGTGACAGCACAAGGCTTTTGAAGCCCAAAGGGTTCACCCTCCCCCTCTGCAAGGCATCCCACTACACCACAATCTTATCTGTGCTGTAGGAGCCCTGAACAGCAGAGCTGCCTCTGGACTCTGTCAGTCGTGCTCCATGTGTGCACTTTTTCTAGCTAGGAAAGTGCCCCACTCAGGGCTGGAGCCTTCCCAGCCACCCCAGCCCCAGTCCCAGCCTGTCCCGGAGCTTGGCACTGACCTCGTGAGCATCGTGTTTCATGCTTATTAATTTTCCCTGATACTTTATTGTAACTAAACGAAAACACTGGGTATCAGAAATCCTAGCACTCAGCATGTTCTGCAAATTATGAACTGTGTCTGAAATGTTCCCTCTGCTTGCAGTTGAAGTGCACCACCTTCAAGGATGGGGCACCTGCATGCAGGAAGAATACAAACTTTATCAAAAATAAGAAAAAAGGTGTTAGTGGGAAAAAATAAATATATTCAGCTTTTATCTGTTCCAGACACAGGGGTTTGGACTGTTTTTCATGGGCTTTTTAATAATCCTGGGAGGTCAAGACCTCAGTTTTATATCCTGTCTACAAGCCAGCACCTCTACCAAAAATAGTGTCCCCAAAGCATATTGGGATATCACTTCAAAACTGACTCAGAGGGAAGAGTGCCAGCAACTGATTTAGCTACACTGCTTTTGATAGCACCCTGGATTTTCCTTGGAGATGCCCCAGACATGTACTGACCAGCCGTAACCTTGTTTACTTTATGAGGTCTGAGAAGCCCACAGCCTGACATGCCCTGGCTACCCAGTAGGATATGTTTAATGTCAAGTCTAGCAGCAAATTCCCAGCAAACTCAGTATGAATTCGCATGCTCATATTCAAAGAATTATTTAACATAACAGAGCAACAAAGTGATTGCTGCATATTTGCCTAAATTGGCAGGCAAAGTCTTTTAAAGTTAATATAACCCTTGTTGGGTTGTCTACATGTTTCTGTGTCCTGATTTGAGACCAGTCTTCTTTCTAAAGAGGTCATCTTTGTGTATACCCACTGTCATTTTTCTTTCTAGCTTGCTTTTAATAATATAATGCTAAGAATAATATTAATAAAATAATAAAATAATTTCCCCCCAGTTTTTACTGGCCTGTGGCTGCTGTTATGTAAAATTAATCTTACAAAATATTGTTGGTAGCAATTATGTGCCAGGTTTATTTAGTGAAGTTCTCAGAGGTCCACATGACAAGGAGTCTCAAGTAAGAGGCAGTTGTCTCCATCATGCAAATTTGGGGAATGAATTAATCAAGCGAAAGGTCAGCTGTTACTGTTATCTGTCTTACCTATCAGTGCTGATCATCACACTTTCTGTGAGCTATTGAACAAGTCTAGACTGTGTTGGTAACAGAAACTTGCTTTCTTCAGTCCTATAGATGCAGATTTTCTTTCAAAATGCTGCCCAGCTGCTGAGTCTTGCAGAGCCCAGTAAAACAGAGAAAATAGATGTGCATCTGAAAAACAAAGACTCCTCTCCAGCCCATCTGATGTGGGTGTTGCAGATCATGCTGTCAGCTCTCCTGCATTATTAGCAGGCAGAGGGTGTGAGCTCGGCTCTAAGTGTTGTCTGTCACCCCAGATACTGAGGACACCCCTCTAGATAACAGAGACTTCATTCTTCCCTCACTGGAAAGGCCTGTGCTGACAACAAAAGGCTTAGAGGCAGAAGCGTTGGAGATGTACGGGTCTGGGAACTGACAGCCAGCTGTTGGCCAAGTGGAACTTTCTCCTTTTCTCCCCTTGTTAGGAAAATATTCCACTAGCTGTGGGCAGATATCTGCAGGGCATTGGAAAAGACCCTCTGCAGAAAGTGCTGGCAGAGGGGTGGCTGTGGTGCCAAGTGTACAGTCCCCTTCTCTTGGCAGGAGCTGGGAGGTCGTGGCAGGCTAGAGCAGGAAGAAAGGCATGGGGAACATATTTCCCTCTTGGCTTTGAGTCTGCACCACGTGCTCTTGTATAGAGAGAGCTGCTGGGAAGATCTCCTCCCTTGGAGGTCCTTCAAGCAGCCAGATAAACTGCACTGCCCAGGATGTGAAGAAAGATTTAGGATTTATGAACATTCACTAGAGCCAAATCAAACATATTTGTTTGGTGGTGTGTTATTTGTCAAAATGACATCATTCTTCGTGCTGATAAACAAGGGAGTTCTGACTGCACCCTGGACTGAAAATGCCACGCGATGAGGTTTAACGTGTTGGCTGTGTGCAGTGAGGAGCAAGTGGGGTGACTTTTAATCCTTCTAATGAACCAGTGGCACCACAAGCACACAAACGTATCTGCAATTGCTTACTGCTCCTGTGCAAACACAGAAACGGTCCAGCTAATTATCCCTGAAACACTAATTCCACAGGTAAGAGGTGCTTCTGTGGCCAAGACATTGTGGAAAGCTCAGGATCTTGCGACACCAGTGCCAGACTTGGTTCATGACAGCTGTCAGAGTGGAGGAAGGGGCTGAAGCTGTCCTTGTGGTGAGGGCAAGAGCTGGGAATGAGTGATTGCCGGTGCTCCAGGCACAGAGTGTGGGTGTGACAGAGGTAACACATCTTCCTCATGCCACTCGTCCAGCAGCAGCTGAAACAAGCTGCAGGGAAAGTCCTGTGAACCCCAGCATGTCCTGGATGCCTGGGGCAAGGTGTGAGGTGCCTGGCTCTTGTTGTGGGTCTGGGCCAGGCAGGTGGATGCCTTCCCTGTAGCCCAGAAGAGGAGGAGAGGTTCTAGTCCTCCTTTGCCTCACAGAGCACATGTGGGAGAGCTGGGTGTGATAAACCAGCACTCTCTGAACAGCAGCCTGTGTGTTTTCTGCTATACTAAGCATTACGCTAGTGAAGGCAGTTAAAGTCAGCAGCATGAAAATTAACATTTAAAAAGATACTCTATATTCCTTAGCAAAGCACTGCTATCCAAAACTCACTGTGTGGGCTTGGGTATGAGAGGAAGAAAAAAAAGATTAAAATAAAAAATAGACTGCAGGCATAGAGTGAACAGTTGCCGTGACCTTGCCTTTTGTATGCCATTACACAATTCAATGGCAGTCTACTCAAACCTTGCTCTCGATCAATATCCTATTAAAGCAGCACAAAAAGTCTCTATAAACTTAGTGGTTAGCTATGTTTATAAATGGAACTCAGCATAATTAGATGGTCAATAGCAGGCTGTACTTGTAATTTTAAAATGAACATCACACATTTCATATCTGTTGTATTCGGCCAGACCTCTTTGAATCTAATGATACAGTGTGGAGGAAATAAAGGCCCTGGGGAAAAAAAAAAAAAAAAAAAAAACAGCTCCCCTTTCCTCTCAGCAGCAGCACAAATGTGTTTCCCTTTGTTTATGGAGTCACAACACAGGAAAAAGTTTATTAGTCAAATGTCATGTTTCTCCCATTTAACCTTAAACACATTATCACTTCACTGCAGTGTTACACATGTAATGATCTTAGTCACATCCCAGCCTCTCTGTAAAAATAAATACATAATAATGGAAAAAAAGGAGAAACTAAATATTAAGGTGGCTTACAGAAAGTGCCATGTTCCAAGGGAGACAAGTGCCAACTTGGCTGGTTTTATTTAGTGGGTTTCCTGTTCTGTAATTCAATAAATTTTTCAAAATAAATATTCAAATTGGGTTAAGTCAGAGGGTTTTTTCTTAATTTCTCTCTTATTTTTCTTGATATTTGGGGTGAGGAGCTGAGCTGACACACTGGCAGTGGAAGGAGCTGGCTGGCAGCAGGGAGATGCTGTGCTGCATCCCAGGAGTAGCACAGTGTGCAGGCAGAGGTACCCACCTTCCTCTTCCTCCTCCTCCTTTTGTGCAAACTACCTGCTCCTGCCCCTCTGAGTGTGTCCCATCTGCACAGGGAATTTTTTGTGATGCCAGCAGCTGAAATGGGAGCTGTAGGCTGGTTGCTGAGGGAAGAGGGATACTTCCCCCTAACCCAGCTCAGAGCTCTGGGTCAGGTAGCAACTCAAGGCCAGTATGGAGGTGGAGAATTTTGTTTTGATTCACAACAGCAGTTTCTGACAACCTTTCCTGTTTAGGAGATGTTCCTGAGATGTCAGAAGGTCACTTTGCATTTCTTACAGGGGGAAATGGTGTGTTTTTAATGTTGCTGCCTGGAGTTTGTGCAGGCTGCAGCATGGAAAAGCCTGTTGCAGTGGAGCCATGCTGCTGCTTTGTGTGGGGCCAGAGCATGTTCCTGGGGCACAGGGGCAGGGATAGGAAGGTTATTTGGTGGATTGTCAGATGCTACAATAGGAAGGTTTAATTTTGACAGAGTTTTGACACAGTTTATGCCACTTTGATCCCTTTGCTTACTCTCCAGAGCTGCTACCTTTGCTGGGAATCATAGAATCTTGGAATGTTTTGGGTTGGAAAGGACCTCACAGCTGATCTAGCTCCAACCCCCTGCCATGGGCAGGGATGCCCTCCACTATCCCAGGTTGCTCCAAGCCCTATCCAACTTGGCTTTGGACACTTCCAGGGATGGGACAGCCACAGCTTCTCTGTGCCACCTGTGCACAGAAATCTTGCAAATAAATGCAAGTGGCCCCTTCTCACCTCTCCGACCTGTGAGAGGTGGACAGTCCCCAAAGGTAGTGTGAAAAACCTTCCTGCTCCGTTTGGAGCAGGCTCAGGTGCCTCCTGGGTGGGCTGGCTGCTCCACGCCCACTCTTGTGGCACATTGTGCTGCAAAACACAGGGATGAGTAATGTAGGCAGGTGCCAGGCAGGGAGCTGCAACCAAATTCCATCTGGGAAGGGGATTCAAAGACTTGACCTTCTGCCATGCAGATGAAAACCATTAACCCCTTCCTGATGGTCTCAGAGTGGGCTCTACATGTCAGGGTAGCTCTGCACATCAGCACATGGCTGTGATTTATGATAGTATGTAGGAGAACTGTGAGCAAAGGTACAAATAGCCTTTGGTAGAAGACAGGCACTGAGTCTGTCCCTGACAGGAAAGCAGGAGAAGGGATTTTGGAACAGCTCAGCTGTGTGCAACCTTTGCCACAGCACTTCTGTGGCCAGAGACCTTGAGCAGGGTGGTGGCTCCCGTGCAAGGATGCCAGTGGGTTCAGGTGCTGGCCTCCACAGCCATGCCAGGTACTTTAATCTCTGCTGATGTATATTAGAGGTGGGTTTTGTTCTTTAACCCTCTGGTTGCAAACTGGCTCTTGAGTGTGGAAAGGTGTTTTGGCCAGTGACCAGCAAAGCATCCTTCATGTTTGCTACCCCTGTGTGGTCAACCCTTTCTACTTTGCACTGAGTTTACACAGCATTAACAATACAATGTTCCTCCCCCACCCCTGCTCTGCACATACATTCCATTTTCCTATAGGGCCAACTGAAAAAATACCCAGGATTTGGAGAGAGGGCAATAAACACAGGTGGTGAGAGAAAGAAGAAAAGTGTTACCCACATATCAGTTTTTCTTTCATATCTCTTTGGAATAAAACTGTTTCATAAATCTGGCAATGGCCAGAAAGAAATGGTGCTTTCACTGAGTGCTTGGCTTTTTATATTCCTCTTTGGAAAACAGTATTCTTATCCTGTAAGATGGGCTTTGGGAGGTAGAGGGTGCAGAGGAATTGCTCAGGAAAGGATTTGCAGAGCACAGATCTGTTTGGCAAAGAAGTTGCTGAAAACTGTGGAGTAGATGCTGCAGAGAGTACCTTTATGATTGATTTCCATTCAAGTCAGACTGACTGCAGTGTGGTCATTTTTCTAACCCATAACTGCACACACTGCAGCAGCCTGCTATCTGCAGGGTGTCTGAATTATAGCAGTCCATGTCCCTGTTACCTTTTACACAAATTACTTACACCGGTTTCTTTTTCCATGCAAATTCATCAGTTTTACAGTCTCTTGTAGATGCTGTCAGGAAACTGTTGCAGAAAGCACAAATTGATAAAACAAGTTAATTTTACTGTGCTTAATTTTTCTTTCTCTGTGTTAACACACCCTCTCATATACCCAGTGTGGAGGAAGCGTATGATAGTTAAGAGAAGATAACAAAGGATTTGAGTGTTGTCGTTATAAATTACCTCCCAACTTAATTCCTTTTGATGATCATTCCAGATTTTCTCAAATTTTAATGGTGATGTGTATTTTCCGTCCCTTTGCTTTTAAAAGTCCGTGGCTATCCAGGCTGTTCCCTTTCTGTCTCAATGACGTTCTTAAAAGATCCTTGCCAAACAACAACTAATTGTCTTGTGGGGATGATGAGGCAGCTGCAAAGCTACATTATTCCTCTGTCAAATTTGACATTGTGAGCTCCTTAAGACTTGGGGTGAAAAACTGGCCCTGCTACAGTCAATGGCAGCACTCCCAGCCCAGACATGTTAGCTGGGTGATAGGAGCTATCCTGTCTTCATTTCCTCACTCCTGCCCCATCGGACTGAAAGATTTTTTCATGTTTGAAAATGGGCCAGATTCTCAGACCAAAGATACTTGGCTCAGCATCCTTGTGTGGCACTGAGACTGCTTTGCCTTTGTGGCTGTGAATCAGGGCTCCCAGGCAATACAGCCCAGGCCAAGCTTGTGCATTTTATTGTGCAGGACATCCTTTTTCAGATGGCTCTGAAATGTGAGAGAAAATCATGATCTGTAATTGTCAGCTCCCAAAGATGTATTGTCCTGTAAACCGCACTGGAACGGCGACAGTGGACATAGTACCATTTGCTGTATAGTGGCATTTCTGCATGAAATCCATTCTCTGTTCACTTTAGCATTAAGCTGCTCTGTTCCTTGTCTGTTCCCAGAAGAATACAGCACATGGCTTGTGCCTGAAAACTTTAGGCTGTGTAGGAATTCATTGTTTTTAGTGTAAAGCCAAAGCTCTAGGACAGAGAAATTGCAGGTATTCATATCCCTTACAATAAAACTTCAGGGAAGGTGATGAGAGGTGAACACTGGAAGCTCACTGCTGGATAAAACTTTCTGGGAGTCATATGTCTCTAGTTCTGATTTAGCTGGAGAAGAGACCAGAGGAAAAATCAGATGCTCTCAGGCACAAAAGAACTCAGATTTCTAATCTGATTTTGAAACTTCTGTGCTTGTGGATGTACATCACGTATACCCCGAAGGTCCTGAGGTGTGTATATCCCTGCCTATGCAGCTTACAAATCCTGCCAAGCATACGACAGGGATGATGCAGCCTATCTGTAACCGTGCCAACAGATTCAATGTTGTCCTAAAAGCAACAAGTTTCATTAAATGTTAGATTGATATTAATAGAAAAGCAGTGCTTAAAGAAAGTAGTGCCAAAATTGTTTAATTTTTTTATTTAAAAAAAAGTAGCTTTGGAGGTATGCAAAGAAGAGTGTATGTCATTGAACATTGTATTCTTGATAAAATTTCCATCTTCTCGATCGCAACGGCAGTTACCATTAGCATTTCATAATTTCCATGTCCCACCTGTTCTCATTGTGAAACTAAACACTCTCACGAGGAAGAAGAAAGTGATTTTCAAGAGCAATTCATACCATATTCACATGACTTACTGACTGTAATCTCTTTTGTTTCCCCAGCACCGATAGCTGCAGGAACAGGCCCTAATTTCTCCCTCTCAGATTTGGAAAGTTCTTCATACTACAGCATGAGCCCAGGAGCAATGAGGAGGTCTTTACCTAGCACATCCTCTACCAGGTAATTTAATCTCTGCTACTACCAGGTTCCTTGGAAACCCAGGGCAGCATCATTACTCATCTGGGAAAGTAACCATTAAATTCTTTGACAAGCTGTTTGGGTGCCTCACGATGTGGAGCTGTTTCAGATTCACAGAGTTGAATGTTCAGCTGCATTGCTGTTAAAGTTCTTTTTACATGTAGAAACCTCAAAGAAAAACTGCTGCATTGGCTTGTGTAACTTCTGGCTTGTATCTGTGTGTGTCAGGAGAAGTTCCCCTGAAATTGTTAAGTTTCAGCTGTGGCAGAAGAGAATTTGGAGAATATTGAGATGTGAGCAAAGTCTTAAGATAGACTTATGTGTATTCTTTATTGCAAAAAGTGTTACCTGTGAGATTAACATTGTTTTAGGACCTTGGCCTATAAAGCATTCTAGTTTTCATAAAGCATTTAGAAATTTGTGACTCAGCCTTTGGAAAACTGAATTGTTAATGCAGATGACTACCCAGGCTGATTTTGATTTTGGGTTAGATGCCAACTATCAAACAAGGATGTTTTTTATTTTTTACCTTTCCCTTTAATCATCCATGAGATTAGATTTATAAACAAACCCAGTCACTTGAGTAGTCTTGAACACTATTAAGGAACCAGATTGATTTTTTTTTTCCCCACAGCCAAAATAGATCACTTATTTCAAAGACATGACAAGAAAGTCTAAACTCCAGCCCAATGTTCTTTTACAATTTTATCTCAGCCTGCAGTGCAACCAGCTTTGCAGTAAGCACGTACACATGTAAAAAATCTCAATAGCTTGAATATAGTTGTTGTTTTTATTTAAAAAATAATAATCTTTAATGAGAGGCTTTTAGCAATAACTTCTTACAGTTTGCAGTGATTGGAAGAACATTCTACTTCTTGCACTTAGTGTACATGTTATGAAGCTTGGTGACTACAATTCCCATTGCACATCAATTAAAAACTTGGTGCTGTTTCTTTTTTGCCTGTAAACTGTGTAGCCTACAGCGCTCATCATTAGCACCATTCTCAGGTAGAATTTACTGGTGATTCCAGAAGCAAAAGTGAGGTTATTAATGTTACTTAAGAGCTCAGTTGTTGCTCCTCTATTCTTCTGCAAATAGCTACCACTGATAAGGAGCTAATTATAAACAGCATGGGTAGTTAATAACTTGGTAATATGTTTGTTTTCCTCTCATTAGGCTGTTCCCAGTCAGAAAAAAAAAAAAAATTCTTTAAATACACAGACTCAGCAGAATTATCAGGCAGTAATTATATTGTATGCACACAATTTCCCCTATTGACACATAACAATTCTCTAAATTAAGGAATGGCCAAACCTGCATTCCACACATACCGTAAGACTTATTCTTCCTGTTTCTCACCAACTGATTTTGCAAACCCGCCAACTCCTACCTGTGCATAGCTTCGGGTGGGGAGGCTGCAAGTTCTAAACCAATAGGAATTGCAGTGGAAGATTTTATGTCTGTTAAATATGTTCCCCCTACACAGAGGAGCCTGTTCTTGAATGCCTTAAATCTTAATAGAATACAGATTGGGGGGAAAAAAAGTGAACTGATCCAGGCTTGGAAAAGTACTTAGAAAACTAATTCTCAGTAACATCCCCACGCAGTCTGTACAACTCATTATGGAAAACAGAGCCAAGCTGAGTGTCTTTGGCTCTGGGACCCTCTCCCTGCAGAACTGCTGGAGCCAGTGGCCACCAGAGACCACTGAAAGGGCTCTTCTGTGTCCTGAGCTTTTGGCAAGGGAGGTGTGACATAGCACAGGGGATCCTTTAATGCTGACACTGGCCAGAGATACCTGTTGAAGGCTTTCTGTGCTTACTGGCACTCAGCTCCAGAGTCAAATGCTTATTCTTGTAGGATAACATGAACATTTGAACCAAATATGGATTCTTCCATTATTCAGTTGTCTGCATTTCTTCTTATGTGTAATGTGGATTAATTTAAAAGGTTGAAAATAGAAGTTTGAACTGATAAACAATTTGCTTTCAGAGTAAGCTGTGAAAAAATCTGGGGACCAAAATAAGTCTTGTGTATCAGCACTGTATTCATTCCAGTTAAAAAAATCACACAATGCAAATTAAATTATTGCCTTTTCATTGACCTTTGTTACTTTAAAAATGTCCTACTTCTGGAGCTGTAAAAATTTAAATGTCAAACTATCTTCTAGTTAAACTAGCACATGTTTAGGGGTTCAGTCTGGACACTGTGAAAGGTGGTTTTGTATCTCACTGGAGCTTAGTCATTGGATAGGAAGCAAATTGGAAAAAAAAAAGTGGATGCTGAGAGGTTGGGTGGGCAGGATGTCTCTGCAGGATTCCCACTTTCCCCTTCCCAGGGCCTTAAATCTGTTATAGCTTCCATAACCAAGTTAGTCTGAAGCAGGGCTAGCAAGATATGTTCCAACAGAAATGCCACGGCTCCTTTTCCATACAGATTTGGCCTTTATTCTGTGGTTTTGCTTTCTCAGCTCTACAAAACGTCTCAAGTCTGTGGAGGATGAGATGGACAGTCCTGGTGAGGAGCCGTTCTATACAAGCCAAGGGCGCTCTCCAGGCAGTGGCAGCCAGTCAAGCGGATGGCATGAAGTGGAGCCAGGTAAGCCACGGCTCTCCAGAGCCCGAGATCTTCATCTTCACTTGCTCTGTTTTGTTATCAGAATGCTGTGTAGAGAGATGATCAGTTCTAGACATCTTGTAACTTCTGGGAAACAGTCAGTCTAATGAAAATATGGTAGTGGTTTTATTACTCCTGCAGCTGTGAATGTTTCTGTAGTGTGTCACTTCTGTGTTTTGGCCAAATATCTGAAGTATTTAAATAATGCAGCAAAAGATAGGCGGTCTTTTTTCTGTCAAAATGTCCAGATTGAACTGTGGGATAGCTTTTTCTAGCAAAAAGCAGTACCTGTCTGGGCTGTGGCCCATCAGTTATGCTGCTTAAATAAATATCCCTAAACTTATATAAGGTAGAAGGACTTTTCAAGCATTTTACAACACTTGAGCTCACTTAGTAATGACTTTTAAGAGACTTACAGAAGGAGTTGTTTTATTAATCTGTAATGCTGTGAAGTGTGATTGGAGGCTTCATATCAAAATAGGTATGACTGGGTGCTACACTTCAGAAGGTTGAGGAAGCAGCTCTTCGGTCTCTCTTCTCAGTTAATTTTTGTGTGTGATCTTTCTTGTTGATCATTTTTTTGAGGTTATGTTACATACTTAACTGTTCATTGATCACTTATCCTGAGATCATCTGGGTGCTTAATACTATTGGAAATGTTTTTTCTGGGTCAGTGCTACATGCATAGGTGAAGTTAATACCACAGTGTTGCTTACAGATTAATAATCAAACATTTGTTGCCAATAAAAATATCAGAAGTCTTATTTGTTAGAGGAAGGCAAGCAGTACCTTCATCTCCAGCCTCCCAGGGTTTGAGAAGGTCCTCTCTAAGTGCAAAAGATCTTTCGCAATTGGTATTTTTTGTCTTTCGTGTTTGTTTGGATTTAAAATAGTTTGGGTTTGGTTTGTTTGGAAACAACACATGCTTGTCCAGGGCACTGTGTATAATGAACTGTACAGCACAGAAAAGTAAATTCGACCTGAACAGCATTAAAATCAGTTCTGTGGGCACTTGGCCAGCCACCTATATCCTTCATCATGTAGGAAACATACCCACAGCTTTCTCTGGAGACCCTGTCAAACAGCTGTCCTTTACAGCATGCCCAGAAAGTCACCAAATTTGGGCTATTCCAGACTGGGAGGGGACTTATTCCTGTGCCTGGGAGCCCTTGGAGGATCCCCTGCCAGCTGCCCTCTCTGCTCTAATGAGGAGGAGCCAGCTTGTGGGCCCTTATTGACTGCAGATGTGGCACTTTGGCAGGAGGAGAGGGTGGACCTGCAGGCAGACAAGTGCCAGGCTCCCCGTGACTGCCTTGCCACTGCCGTCCCCAGGGCCCTGGTGTTTGCAGTGAGGTGTCCTGCTCTGTAGGCACCAGGGGCTGTTTCCTCCATCAGCTCCAGGTTCCAGATGATGTAAGGCAGAGCTTCACCTGGTACTAAACCAGTCTGCTCATGGAGCGGCAAAAACACGCTCAGAAGCTCAGTGCCCAGTGAAAGGGAGAGATCACAACCTCCTGTGCGGAGACAGATGGCTAAAAGCTGACTGGGTCACTGCTTCTACATCATTGTCAGATGAGGGGACAGCTCCCCCCAAAGTTTGGGGTACTCTTTGTTAATGACAAATGTTCTCCATTTGTGCAACAGCCAGAGGTTGGCTATTAATTTTGCTGTCACCTCTGGTGGTTTTCCCCACGTGTGGTCATTACCTCTGGTTCATTCAGGTCCTAGCTAGATGGTGACACTGAACTGCTGAGCTGAGCAAGAGAAGTGCCTAAAGCCTTACACCTCTGAAGCACCTGCACCACCCTGGCTCCATTGGGTGCCCATTGTGAAGAAGCACAGCTACCCATGTCAAACTTCCTGAGGTGCTCAGAAAGGCAAGGACAAGTCAGGGGACAGAAGGTTCTTCCTTCCTGATGACCTTCCTCACTCATTATAGAAAAATCCCAGATTCTGCTTAGTCTTGCCTGTAAAATGGTAGACAATCACCTTGCAGCATCAGGGACTCTAGCCAGGTACCAACTCGATATAGCTCAGATTCACCAAGCCATCTATCACTGTCACAGCTATGAAGAAAAAGAGCTTTATCCTGCCCATGTGGGATGCACTTTCAAGCCACCCTTGTGCTATATCCACATAGCCCCACCCCAGTGCTTCTGCCATGGCTTTCCAGCAGCCTGTCCTCTGAATTCATTGCCTCAGCTTCTCTGTAAAACCGGGTTGCTGCAAGAGCATGGCTGACAGAGAGATTACCTGAAGAGCCACAGATCATTGGTGGTGAAGGACAAAACAGTACTGAAGTGTCCTTCCATGCTAGCGCAGCAGTGGTGTGTCACTGGCACGAGGTGCTCCTCCAAGGGACACATCCTGCTGTGGTCTGTGCACAGACATCTCACCTGGGTCTGATACTAACGTGTGGCCCTTTGTGTTCCACATGGGTATTTCATCTCCAGAAGTGTTTTGTGAGTCTTCACTGGGGCATCTGCCTAGCAAATAAATTGGTCCCCTAAAAGCTGTACAAGTGATGTTAACATTTCCCATTGCCCAGTGGCTTGCCACGGCATTCGTCTCTGAGAGGGAGCTTTGGAGTCTGGACCTGTTTCAGATCCATCCTTTCTGATGTCTTTATTTACAGAAAAAGGCCTTGCCATTTATTTAATCTACAATCAAAATGGTGGCATAGTTCTAACATGGAATAATCTCTGAGCTTCAGCGTTTGGGATTTTTTTCTCAGTGAAATTTGAAGTAGAAGTTTGAAGACTAAACCCATCTTTTTGTTTGACTTGGCATTTCTTCCATGCAATTCATTTTATGCTGCATGGGATAACACAGGTATCAGCAGTGCAGAATGATGCGGGTTCAGAAGACAGGCTGAAGTTTTATCCTGTGCTGGCAGAGTAGTGTAAGCCAGGTTTCCAAACTCCATAATTAAACCCTGTCCTTTGGGTTACTGGCCAAAGAACAGGAGGAGGAAATCATACCAAGAAAAGGAAGCTTAGACTTGTCTGTGGGATGGCTGCTCTGGCTGGGAAGGAAAGTTCAGAGAGGAGCCAGCAGCCAACCTCCCAACCCAGTAGGATCCACACCAAAGATAATAATATATCCTTTGGCTTTATTGCCTCTGAGTAGATTGCTTCCTCACAGGAGATTTAGATTTATGCAGAGATAGCTTCTTGGCCTATATGCCTTGACAGGTTTATGGGAGCGAGAGGATGAATATTCTGTCTCTGTGTGTTGCATTTGCTTAATTTTGAGGTGTGCACATGAGAAAGAGGGAAGACTCAGGCACGGGAGCAGGTGTGAAGCATCCGTGTGCTCATGGCACAAAGACTGTGAGAGGGTGGTAGTAAAGGATGTTGCCTGGGACAGTGCAGGAAAATTAGGGAGAAATGGGAGAAATGCACTTGAAAGACAGCAAAACATAGAAGAGAAAGGAAAAATGAGAAGACAGTTATAGACCATACGGAAGGGAAAAAGAACAAATGCCAGGAAAACAAAGATTTGACTTCCTAGAAAGGAAATATGAAATGGAATACGTGAACTCCTCTTAGAGAAAGAGCACTCCAGGCAGAGGGTTATTTACCGCCAGCCGAGACTAGTCGCTCTACATCTGTCTCCATTTTTTTCTCTTGAACAAATTCCCTTTTTGGATACTTTCTCCCTGCTTTGCTTCCCTGTGATTGCCCCTGTAAGTGGTCTTTGGAGGGCAGGCTGTATACTCAGAACATATGTGCAAACTGGCAGGAGAACAGAAGAGGACAAAACCACTCTGTGTGCTATTTAGATTAGGCAGTGGATGCTTCCCCCGTGCCTACTCTGGGGTCCCTGCTGTGTGCAGGATACAGGCTGCACCTATTGTCCATCGACAGCCCTTCCTCTGAGCTTTCACGTGCTCTGTTTGGAGCACCCTGACGTCTGTCTCATGTGGAAACTTTGCTGTGTGTAGATACCAAATGCCTCACCCACCTGGTTGTAGATCCTACATGCTTCACCCATCAGCAACACGACCTTTCCATTCCGTGGCATTTCAGTCTTATAGTAATGAGCAAAGACTCAGCCTTGTGTTTTTACATCGAGATACTTCTTGCAACCAAGGATGCAGCACTCTCCTTATATGTCAGATGTGACAGCTAAAGCAAAACCCAACATTAATCCCATGTTCCTTGTACTGTACTCCTTGAGTCTCACATTCATTTACCTGCACTTGAAAGCTCCTGGGGAGCTCTCCGGCCTAAAAAGGCTGGAGTCTGCCAGAAAAGATGAATTTCCTTTCACAACAGGAAGGCTTAGGAAGTAAAACAAAGCAGACGTGTAGTAAATTACTTCTGCTTTTCAAATACCTTTTGTGGTATCCTCCTTACCATTACTTTATCTCAGCACTTTCAGTACATAACTCTTATTAACTGAGAAGAAGGGCAAGAGAGGATAAAGATGATGTTAGTAAGAAAATAAGGCAGCATCATACTGGCTTTGAACTCTTGCACAAAGCTGGCCCGTATTCAGTTCTGTGGCAGCTCTGCTTGTAATGGAGGTAAGCCATAATTACAGGTGTACATTTTTTAATTCCATAATAAGAGAAGATTGAGTTAATGTATATCTGTATTCCACTTATGCGTTTTTTAATGCATTCCCTTGATCCAGTCCAGAAGTAATGTTCACATTGTGCTCTGTCAGTCATTTTGTGAAGCATATGGATGGTATTTGCCAATTCTACTCCCATTGTGTTTCTACAGTGTGGCATGGAAAAAATGTTTAAGATGCAAATTTAGAGTATCCCATTGGTTTCTTTACTTAGATCTTCTACTTGCATTCTTAAATCTTCTACTTGTATTTCCATGAGGTAGTTTACTCCCTAGAGGACAGTAATCCCAGGAAAGGTACAAGTTTGTACTCCTTGACATCTTGAGATATCTGAAGGGACAATTAGCTCTGCTTTGATTGTGGTCTTAACCAGCTTGACTTGCAAAATGGCTGAAGCTCTG